TATATATATATACATATATACGCGCATATATGAGTAGATGGATTGGTATATGCGAAATTGTGTAAAGAGAACCTAACCGGAATACATACGCGAGCATTTAGGGCACGATAATTTCAACTAATAGTTGCGCATCCTCTTACAGCCGAAAACCGCTCCATTCCGACGTATTGTGTTGATGCAGATCAACCGATCAATTTGCTCGTTATATGAGACATACCTAATCCTTTGACAAAGTGCCCGAATTTCCTAGTACTCGAGTCCTACGTACCGAATTCATCAACATCGATTAATCTTATTCAAACGATGAAAGAGTTTAACGATTGCAACCAGTTGCGAAATTTTTGCATTAAAAGTAACTTTCCTTATAGAATTAATCCGAAACTTACGACGCTTGTTTTAGAATGGCCGCGGGTACAAGAATCACTGCCAGACAGCGGACGCAAAGCAACAACCACGGCAACATTAGCGATCTGCTGGACAATCTACTTCGCGGTTACGACAATAGTGTCAGACCAGATTTTGGCGGGCCCCCGGCTACCGTTGAGGTCGATATCATGGTACGCAGCATGGGTCCCATTTCTGAAGTGGATATGGTCAGTCATAGTTTTTGTTCATCTCGTGCGACGTATACGAGACAAATGCTCTCGACTTGAGTCGTAGCTGCCAAAATCAGAAAATCGATCAAGTACATATGAAACTGATACATTCTTCCCGTAAAATTCTTTATCTCCAATTTGTTCGGTTATTTCATTTTTATCATTTCAAGTTTTACATCAATATTACGCGTTTTACGCTAACGAGTTAATAAAGTCGTTCATTATATTGTATGTGACAAATCACGATACAGATTTTCTATGTTTTATTTATTTCATATAAAGATTGCAAGTATAACGTTTAATTATTAGTAATATTTAATATACTCTTAAATATATATGATAAGAATTTAAACACTTGTCACATATTGATTGACGCGAAAAATAATAAAAAGTTTTTGTTACTTATAAAGTTACTTGTAATAATTCGGAAACAATAATTAATGAATAGTTAATAAAGAATAAAATTATGTAATAATTGGTATGTGTGTGGGATAAAGAATAAAGAAAACAAAAAAATTTTTAAGACATTCACGATATCAATAAAGTACACACACACACACAGAGCCAATTTTATCGAATTTTGAAATTTTTCGCAGACGTATTCAATGGACTGTTACTTTCGGCAATCATGGGTAGACAGACGTTTAGCCTTTCAGGGTGGTAAGGAAACACTCGCGTTGAGCATTTCCATGTTGGCAAGGATCTGGAAACCCGACACGTACTTCTACAATGGCAAGCACAGTTATTTGCATACGATCACCAGCCCGAATAAGTTCGTCAGGCTTTACCAGGATGGCAGAGTACTTTACAGTTCAAGGTATGCACGATCGTGATTAATATCTCAATGTTATCGTAATCTCCCCTAAAAACATGTACGACTTTTCTATAAATCTTGTCTTTCATACGAAAAGCAGATGTGAGAAAATTTCTTATAAACTTATATACAATAAGGGAAAATATGTGTGCAGAACATCAAATAACATTAAATAAAATTTAGATTTATTACATTTTAGATGTATTTATAAATATATCTATCTAGTTTTATTTTAATATTCATTTATTATATAATCAAGTTATATCGATGATTTCGGCATAAAAAGAGAGGAAACCTTATCATGTATTTTCCATATTTCATCTTAAATGTACATTGCATTGTCATTATGCCATTATGAGAAAGAGTTAGTCTCTATCATCGTGTTACCCAATTGTAAAAAGCGCAACTCTCTCTCAAGATCGATTGCAGAAGCGTCATGAGATTTATGACCTGGACTTTGTCTGATTTCATCCATCTCTTACTACTGTCATAGCCTCTTATAAAGAATATCCCTTGTCACATCTTTCCTTTTTCCTACATACTGTTACATTACTCGAAAATGTGCTATAATTAGACGCTTTATCAATTGTAAATAAATTTTTATATATAGTTTACAAAATTCCGCAAAATCAAGAGAAATTAATAGCTTAAGAATTGCATATCGATAAGACGAGGAGAGAGATATGTCTACAGTCTATTAATAGCGCGTAATATCTCGTTTACTGAACAATAAGATCGCATAGATAGGATCGCAGCGAGTACGTGATTCAGTGCTCGCTCGGCCGAATCTTTGCAAATCTTTTCTCAGCGACGTGACATGTGCAAGGTCTGAAACATCTCGAACTCGAGGGTTAATTCTGTCATGGACACACAATGGGGCCGATCCGGAAGACTAGGTCAAGAGAAAGGGAACGGATTAATAAAGAGGAAACTCGATATATCGTTTAATCCAGCACCCTTGCCCTCCCCTTTCATATTTGTATTTGGCTTGTACAACAACACGAAGTAGCGCTCGATGAAACGAAGGGAGGAAAATATGGCAAACTAAGTATCCTCCCTGTTATATTCCATTCCCTTATTTCCTCCTTAGTGTTGAAATTATCTTAAATAGATTGTTGCCTAACTAATATATATGTATATATATTTTTTTGTATAGTATAATACACCACCGATTTTTCTGAAATTCGTTTTCATTTATTGGTATTTATTGTACCAATTTGATAAAATTTCCAATTATGAAATTAGATATTGATTTTTGCTAGAATTATTGTTGTTTATCTTTTCTTTCAAAAATATTCAAACTATTTTGATAAAAGATCTCTAATTTTTAGACATTATCATTCAATACAACTATTAATTTTGCCGATTTTAATGTTCATATATGAGTTGAAAAAATTTTAAAAGAGAATGATCAAAATAAGCGAAACGAAACGAAAAGAAACGAAAAAGATATCGTCATCTTCAATCTTTTCGCGACATTTTCGTATGTTTTCTACGATACGCTAACGCATCGATAATGTCATAATATTGTTTTAAATAGAGATGTTATTGAAATAATATGGATATATATACAGCGGCATATTTTCCAGGAAATTATCGGACGTGCCAGTCTTTTCATTCGAATAACTTTCAATAGCACACATTACATTTCCAATATGAGAAAAATTCTAATTATCACACTGCAATTTTTTTATGTTAAAGATGTCATAATGTTATATTTACAATTATCATTCATTGCATACTTAAATATATAATAAACGTTGTTAGAGACGTTAAAAACTATAGTAATGTATTATAATAATTTTATGTCAAAACTGCTTTCAACAATTACAGTTTTCTTCAGTTTAAGATATATATTTCTTAAGTGAATTTTTATGGACTTCTACTCAACCTTTGAAGAAAATTATTATTTGGTTAATGTTAGATATAAAATGAGGAACATCTGCGGATATAATTACACGGAAACCTTTCATCGAAGAGAACGGGAAAGTCTTCTGCAATCGCTGTCTTATTTCGAGTGTTTTTTGAAAAAGGAGGTCCCGTACCTTGTCTGACCAGCCGGACTCATTCGTACTGGAAAACGTCCTGATCACGTTCGTGGTGTTATTTACTCGACACTTTATTAGCTGCCACTGCCTTTTATCCGGCTATCGAGGCTCATCTAAACTGACGAGAGAGAGAGAGAGAGCTAGAATTCGCTGATTTCAACATTTCCAAGATTCGTGGATTGATCTTGATCAAGTCGATATAGAATTTACAAATACAACAATCTTTTGTTAAACTATGTCGATTTATTACTACAATTTAGATTGTACAGTAGATAAACAAATGGTTTATTATAATTAGCTATAATATATTATATATATATATTATTAAAAAATCCAGAACAACTAACAATTCGAGATACAGAACGGACTCTTGTATAATTGTAATACACAGCAGAGAGTTGTTCTCTTTAATTCATGTCCAAAACAGCTTTCGAGAATTCGGTTTTACTGTACCAATAATAATGCGAGATTGCGCTGCTAATCGGTACTAATCAAGCCCTCGACCCCATCATAGCGGAAGCACGAGAGCAAGCGAATATGAGCACACCGCGTACTAATAACAGTAATAACCGGCGAGGTAAACACAGATGGAAAGAGAGAAAGGGGACTAAAGACGATCGAGTCTGAAAATAGATGGATTGCTGCATTGAAAAGTGCATCGAGAACGAGCCGCGACGCACGCATGAACGGAAGGATGACGAATTGTTGAAGTAACTCGTTGCATTTCAAAGAGAGAAAGAGATAGAGATAGAGATAAAAAGATAGAGAGATCTCCAATTTCAAGGGAATATGTGAAGCATAAAGTATACACTGTGCTAGAGCTGTGTAGAGAATATATATATATATATATATATATATTCCCTCCGTCTCTCTCTCTTTCTCTCTCTTTTCGTCGATTGGCAGATTTTCTCTTGGATCCGTCGAATTTTGTCAGCTAAACTTGTCTAACATGGTAAACGATGGAGGAAGCAAAGTTTTTACAAAAGCTTTTCAGACATATAGTGGTAAATCGCAACCACGAGATTTTTTTTATTGAATTATTTATTTTTTTTTTTGCACCGTTTAACTTTGCCACTTGGTTAATTCTTTTCTCGCATTCCCGCAGCCTCTTTTTCATCTTTTAATCTCATTCTATTCGATTTTGTTTCATCTTACGCTTGTCCTGTCGCTCTCATCGTTATTCATGAGACAGAGAAAACTTGTCATTATAAAAGAATAAAATTTTTCCTTTTATTTCTTCTCATCTAAGTTTTTAAAGAAAAGAATATATTTATTGTAATAAATTGTAGAATCACAGGTGTGTGCGAAAGCAATCATCTGTACAACATTTTCTATGTTTGTTTAGAAAGAACACAACTTTGAATTTCCTATAAACTTATAATAATTGAAAAGAATTCCATTTTATTATAATGAACCTATAACGGATTTCTAAAGTTGCAAACTAACGATGTACCATGAATTCTGCAAATTGTAAACTCTGTATCACAATTAGCTTACAATGATAGAATTTTAGAATAATTTCTCAAAAATCTAAAATCACTTAATGTACAATAGATCAAAGATGAACGAGTGATTGATCGATAATTTAAGATGAGCCAACATAGGAAACAAACCGGCATTTCGTCGAAGAAAGCAGATTCATTTCGATCAAAACAATATTTTCCACGATTAATATCAATCGATCAACACGAGTTGCCAAAGCGCGTTCAATAAGCACACACGTACGTATTTCGTCTATCTTGACGCCGAATATAATCGGAAACTGATTTAAAATACGCGGCCGCAACATTTGCTCGTGTTTTATGCATTCGAAAGTCCAACTTTTAGTGTCCCAATAATCGGAATTCTTCCTTCGGTGACCGTCGTAACCGGTTTTGCTGCCGGATCCAGTCTTACCGGGGATAAAAAGCAGTCGCGACACACTGAAACCGAAAATCGTCCGAGGCAAATTGCCCGAGCCCCATCTTCGGGCATAAAACGTGGCCAATCTCGAAGCATGTCGTCGAGATACGTGAGAGAAATATGTACATATTTTGTGACGAAGGCTTGAAACCCTACTTTATGCGAAATGAAAATTCTTATCTTCTCTCTTGTATTGTTACAATTCATTATTCATTATCCTTTTCGCGCTTTCGTTATTCATTACTTATATTCTTATATAAATTTTTGCAATCTATCTATCTCCATATTCTAAAAATTATACATGCGGATATAATTATTTTCCAAACATAATACATAATAAATAATACATAAACTTTCTCTTTTTTAGCTTCTTGAAGACAAATGCAATGCAAAGTGAAAAGAAATGTTAATTTGTATATTTTATAAAAATATTTAAAATTATTATAAATATATGTATTGTGGTTTAAGCCTTAAAATTTTATATCCCTTCTTCCCTCTATTATCATTATATATCAAAAGACTATTTAATTATTTTAAATCTATTTGTATACTTATTTCTAATTACTTGTGCACAATTCTCTTTCTCTGCTAAAATCTTTTAAGATATTTTAAATTTTAGCCGTAATATTTATATGCGCCAATTACATTATTAATGTGTGCGTTTCAAATAATCTGAGAGAGAGATGTATTATAGATTATTCGAAACATTGATAATGTTTGCGCATATTCACGTGCATACAGTACACATTGAACGGAAGAAAACCTTTAAAATAACTTGGCTTCATCAAATTTATTTTTATGCAAACAAATTTGTTAAAATTAAAAAAAAAAAACTTTTTCCATAAAATAATTCGGATAGACGCGGTCGCAACTTTACAGTAAACTGCAATAAAATCCTCGAAAACTGACAGAATATAAAGCAATTGCGATATGCTGAGATGCAGGAAAGCTTTGCAGGAAGCTATGCCTTCTACAAATTGAGCGATCGAACGAGCCGCAGAGTACTAGGGGTGATGGATCCGATTAGCCACGGATCGTCTCATCCTTCGGTTCTAACTTTCTCAACGGAGTTAAACCACGCATAGTGCAATAACTCGATCAAACTCCAATAGATTTACTCTACTATTCCACATGTGTTTGCGTTTGAAAGAAATATTGCATACATTTTGTGAATTTCGCAGATGTTGCGTGATGAGAAACGAGAATTCTGTGAATTTAGTATGCAAAATGCATTTCAGAATTGTCATCATTATTGAATACTGCAATTACTAGTGATCAAATTAAAAAGATCTGACAGTTTTTGAATTAAAAACGATTGAAATTGTGCATGTGTATGTTGCATATGTTAAAATTATATGTTGAAATTTTGATTTGTTGAATTTCCTATATTGTTTCAGACTTACCATTAAAGCGGGATGTCCGATGAATCTCGAGGATTTTCCGATGGATATGCAGAGATGTCCGTTGCAATTCGGTAGCTGTAAGTTTAGTAAAAATTTATTTGTTCCATGACCCTCAAAGATGTCATTCGCTTTTTTCTTTTTATTTTTCGTGTTTGTTCGCGAGATATGTATTTCTGTTGATTCATTGTAAGATTTCGACGACGGGGTAACGGGAGTAAAACTTATTCGTCTCTCGAGTGATTTGTAATCCTATCTTATAAAAATTGTGCGACATAATTTTTTTTACTATCAATTTGATGCATTCCGTTGAAACATAAAATTACAAATTCAATTACAAGTCTATTAATTTTTTCGCGTGTTTTCGATTACTGTGCATATTTAAATGGTCAAGGCAGGAAAGATTAGGCATGTAGGCAGATTTTAATTGTCAACTATCGTTAGATCGACGCGTTAATCCTTTTGGCAATGCAAAATTAATCCGTTTATAGTTGGCTACACGACACGCGACGTAATCTACAAGTGGAACAGTGCGAGACAGGTCGCTATAGCGGAGGATATGAAGCTGTCGCAATTTGATCTGGTCGCCAATCCGACCGCAAATCACTCCATTGCACCGGGATTCTCGCATGGTGAGTGAAAATCTCGCAGATCAAGAATACCCGGTTTAGCCATATTTCTCCTCGCAAACATCGAAAAGACACAAAACTTAGTACAATCGAAATATCATGGCACAATCTTATTGTTAGAACAAAAAATAACGCTGTAAAAATCGATAAAAATAAAACTTTAACATAAACAATTCGATAAGATGAATAAATATTTCATACATATCAAAATGACTTAATGAAGAGATGTGAAGAGTCGCAAACTGGAATTTCTATAAAAAATTCGGTCGTATTGCTGGCACCTCGCATTACCGTCGAATATTGAAGACGACGAAAGGAACACGTTCAGGTGAAGCAAAAGATGAAGAAAAGTAGCGTCGAAAGTCGGCGCGTAGAAGCGACGACTAATTGCAGCATTCTCTTAAAGACGACTCTCCTCTTTTCCCTTTCTCTTTCTCCCTCTATCTTTCTTTCTCTCTTAAGCTTTACATAGGCAAGCATTCTAGAAGATTCGGCTGCAAATTTTAATTGGATTATCGATTAGTAAACGGTAAACAGCTGATTTGGCCTTTGCTGTTTTCTGATTCGATTGTGCACTTATCGAGGAAATCTGCTTAAAGTCATCAAATTTTGCTACGGATATATATAAAGAAATTCGTATAATAATTTTAAAAAACAATGTCATTATATTATATAATAATAAATTGTATAGCAATAATTA